TACTTACTTCTTTTTTTTTTTTATTTAAAAAATTATTTAACATTGAACTCTTAAAAAATGTTGCATGGAAAGCTACGAATTCGTGTCCGTTCTAATAGTTTTTCAACCAAACCATACAGGGTGCTTCAATTAGTGCACACCATTGGAAATTAATTTTGCAGATAGTACTATATGTACGTATGTATTCTGTAGATATATGCATATAAGTACTGTTATAGCGCACATTTATTAGTATATCAAATATCATTCATTAAACTCAATACTCTAAAAGCTTGCGCGTTTGATATTCTATTCACATACTAATAGTGTACTTCATTCTAATTGATGCACTTTCAAAGTCTGGCTATAAATCTAAATAAATAAAGTCGATATTTGCATGGATATATATATACATACATACATATATTTCTATACACATATATACAGTTATTACGTGATATGCCAATTATTTGCTAATTTCAAGGATTTAAATGCTAAATTGAAGATGATACCAGGCAGTGATGGCACGCCGATTAGCTTGACTTTCGACGAGGGCGTCAATATATATACTCATATATATGTATGTAGGTGCGTGCAATATGCACTATATCGTACATATGTACATATATACATTAATGAATATGACACCTTTTAAATCGTTGTTTGAAAATCATTATTGAAAATGCTATATGTATACTGTTATACTTAAAACCCATGAAGCAATTACTAGACAGGAGAGTCAATTATATGACAGCCGTCGAGTACTACTAAAGAGAACTAACTGTTTCGAAAGTACATCGTCGACATTGTATGTATGGTCGAAATCAAACGGCTCGAATAGGATTTCACATACTCTTACTGTACGCAATTTCAGTAAGGTTGGAAGAGAACAAGTAGCTTAACCTTCCTCTCATAGTTCATCAGAGAGTTTCGGAGAGTTTCCGCCTTAATAACATCCACGCAGCACCAATTACAAACCCTTGCTGCTCTTGTTGGGCAAAAACGTCTTTTAATTATTATTAACACTGGAAATAAAATTAGTTTGAATTGGAAATAATCTCATTTTCTACTGAAACTGTCATTTGAAGCAACCAAGTTTACAACTAATGCCTAAACGCCTGGAAGGACGTCTAAAGTTATACTCGTAGTCACTGACTCAATCATAACTAACCTTTGGTGGGCTTTTTTCTAACCTTTGAAGTATTTCGGCAGCTATAATAAGAGCTTTATGGCTCAAATGTAAGAATGTGATTTTTTTCTCGCAACACTAGAGGTTGTCATTTGGGAAGATCCTAGTCTTAAACTTCGCTTTAGTTTTAAAAAATATTTATATCATATCTTCATGGCAGTAACTTAAATCGGAAAGATAAATTAGTTAAGAAAACAGTAGTGTGATCTATTTTAAATATGAAAACACTTAAGGATTGTTAGAAAATGAAAATGGATACAAAATTCCAAAAGAAATTTTAAATTTTCTGCTGATATTTTGTAACGTAGGAACTTTTCGGAAAAGCCTGTTAGAAACCTTTTGAAAAGTAATCCATACAACTAAGTAGATGCAAAATAATTAAATCAACAAAAATTTAGAGAACTAAAATAAAAAGAGTTAATGCCTAATGAATTACACTTGACTGATTCGCTTCGACTTGACACGCCTGTCAACCGAGCCCATGTGAGGCTACGACAATTGGGTATGTCGGCGATTACAATGTCACTTACAAGAGTAGATATAGCGGTATCAGAGCGACAGTTGACACCTATGTACGTCAACACACCTGGTTTTAATGACGATTCAGGTGGTTTTTGGGTGCTGCAGAAAACTTTTGTTGAATAATATTTTCTTAGATAAAATTTAAATTTTTGTTAAACAAATTTCATATTGAAAATGTCTATCTTTCAAATATAATATATTTGTTTAATATAAACTTAATTTGATTTTTTTATTTTACTAAATAAACTAAATACAATATAAGTATACTGTTTGAACAGTCTTTCACTAAAATCAAAACATTTTTGATGAATTGAAGGTTTAATTATTATTATTATTATTTTTAACAAGTAAATTTCTTAAAAAGTAATAAAATTAAATTCCTAAAGAATCTCTGAATCCGTGTTTCAATTATGTGTCGTCTTCATTGCACACCTGGTTTTCTCCCTGAAACTGAGTCATTAAAAATTCTAACCTGAACTATTAGACCTATTGAATATTCACCATTGACTGACGATTGATTGTTGGCAATGACGTATGCATATACAATGTAGTGGCATATAAAAATCTAAACGTATATATACCATATATTTACCTCATACATAATTGATTAGCCTAGTAAATTTTCAGTAATAGATCGTAAAGTTTGTATTATACAACGGAAATGTTTGCCACTTGGGAAAAGACTTACACAAGGAAGTTGTTCTGAGATTTTTTTCAAAAATAGCAAATGTTCCGCTGGATATTTTATAATTGGCGATAAATATAAAAATAATCAAAATTTCCTGAATTTTTCACCAGCAAAGTCATTCGCCATAGACAGAATCCGGTGATAAAAACGTTTTGTCAATCTCATACAGCTACTGTTGAGCCACTATTTATTTGTGTGACCTGGTGTTGTCCCCTTGGAACATAACACTGTGGAACATTTTTGGGCTTATTGTCTGGGGGTTGAGAAATTCCATGTCAGGGTGATGGTACTAGGTCAGTATAGTAAAACCCTCAAAGGGTTTGGCGTTCGTATGTGTTAGTTTGTTTTTTATGACCTTTTAAATTTTTTCCTTATTTGATATGTTTGATATAATTTAAATGTTACTAAAAGGTTTTTATGTCACACCTATTCGTGAGCAATCGAAGCAGTGTTTACATGATAGCTGGACTTGACGATTTCCATTTTTTTTTTTTTTTTTTTGTCGATATATTCGTAAAGGGAGGTCCTCTAAGGGAGTGGTGTATCTAGTAATGCAGGTGTGAGTCTCAGCGCAACGCTTACTGCATAATTCAGTTAATGAGACTGGATCTCCTGACTAAGAAAGCATCAGACACGCTCGACGTTTCAAGAAGAACTATTAAACATTTTTTAATAGAGTATCGGTGATCAGGAATATAAGCTTAAAAGCAGTTCATTCAACTAAAATGCACGACCAATTTTGGTGGCAACACTTAAGGAATAAAGTCATACGGAATTGAATCTTTTGAGAGAGAGGTTTTTGGCAACAACTTTAATGACAAGTTTCGGATATCATCTAGAGAAGGTGACAACTCTTAGCGGTCATACAGAGTTGTAATTTATTTGGGATAGGTTACCTGGCAGTAAATGCGCAGTACCAGATGTAGACCAGTTTCTTTAAGAAACAATCGATTTTTATAATATACATAGGATGTTACGAAAACGAAAAAAGAATTACTCAAATCTTTAACACAATAATCTGAAAACAATAACCAAATGCGTTACAGAAATTTGTCAAATTTTAATGAAAGTTAGAAAGTTGTATAATTCTTGAAGTCTGGCCACACTTAGCACTTCGTTAGGATATATATATTATCTAATTTTGTGTGTTATCAAATATTAATGCCGCAAAAATGTGAAAAAAGTAGTTAAACAATATCATCACCTTCTCATTAACTCGAGTTCATTCAACCGTCCGCCCCTTCGCCCGCCCCTCAAAGCACAAATGTCATTGCCGCAGCTGCAATTTGCGCTCGTGTCGTAATGAACACCTCAAATTCGTTGCAATTACCAATCCGAACACAGCGTTTTATACTACCACACGCCAATTTCGCATTGTGTTTAATTAACGTGACACTAAAAGGCGCTAATTACTAACTCGACAGTGGCGGCAGGTAAACAACATTTGCGTTGATACCAAAGTATATAGGCAATTGCATACACATTGCCAATTAAAAGCCAATTTCTATTGACACAACAACAAAGCAGTGTTTACACATGAGTTTTCCAAGTCATCTAGCGCCTGGGCAATGTCGGATAATTACGCGACTTCAGTTAAAACGAATACTATATTTACGGCTAAGCGAACTATTCGAACTCGAATTCGAACTAAGTGGAAACCACAAAGTCATAAGTACGAGCTTTGGAAAAAATTACCCACTCCCCCCCCCACAACATAGAGCATGCGCTTAATGAGTCACGTCCAGCTAGTGCGGTACGAACGACGACGTGTGGGAAACCGGGCCAAAGATCAATGATCGCAGCGTCGCGTTAGAGGTATTAGACGCATACGACGTGCGCTGTACGGGGTAAAACTTTCATTTTCATTGAAACCGCATGGCGGCAGATAAAAATGTGTTACAAATGAGTTTTTCTATCGGTACGAGCGGGTACGCTAGCGATAAGTGTCAATCAGCAATGAATACACACATACATACACACTATAGAGACCGAGTTGTAGTATACGAGTGAGTAAGTGCATCCGCCCGTCAGCCTCCAGCCGCCCAGCTGCCCGTCTGCTGCCTATTTATTTACTTAACTGTCGCTTTGGTGGCAGTCCGGCGGGTTTGGCTCGCAGCTGTTGGACTGACAGCTTCGATTATCCGTCGATATGCGCCGAACACGCTAAACGTATGTAATGCCAGTGATTTACACGAGATTCACAAAGTAAAACAAAGCGCTATAAATATGAATGAATGATCACCGGCCGTCGACAGCCGCGCCACCCGCGCCACCCGCTTGCACGGCGCCAAGTGGCTGGAATCGGAAAAGGGCGTGCGGCCCGTAAATTGTCGGGTTATTAAGACAATCACATTGCGAAAACAGATAATTTATTGTTAACACAATTAGCCATAATTTGAGCGTTAAGCAGGCAATGCCAGCGAGGCGTTAAATCGGCAATAAATGCCAGGCAATTTTTATGCACGATTTTTCGTTCTCAGTTCCCACTGCAATCCCACAAATCTACAAATGCAACTATTACTCAATATCCAGTTATAACAGCTAGTAAAACGAATTTCTTTGGGAAATATTTCACATCATGTAATTTATGATTAACAAATTTGACTTTTTTTATTTTCACAGATTTTTTACCAAAATTTTTTTACCAAACAACGAAAAGGACGTTATTTGAAATTCCATAACAAAGAAACCCGAAAATAGACTCGAAGTCGACTTTGATTAATTGCTAAACGAAAGTTAAACTCACTAACCTTGACTCCACTGACTTTGACCGCAGACAGTTCCACGCGCGCGCCCGCTCCTTTTTGATACAAAATGAGTATTATCGATAGCGGACGTTATCGGCTGCGCAAAGATTGGGCCAGCGCCTCCATACCGTCATTGGTCGACATCGATGAGCATGTGAGTGATGAGGTAGAGAATTCGCTGAATATTACCACACCGTTGCCGCCACCAAAGCCGCCACGTCGCAGCTCATTGGCCTTGGGTTTGTTCTCAAGCAAAGGCGATAAGAGTCAGAAGCGACGCAGCTCGATTGCAGTTTTTTTACGACGCGACAGTAATAAGGTGAGTTCACATTTATTATATATTTGAAGGTTGGTGTGGAAAAATGTTAAGAATTCGGTCATCGGAAGTGTGTCCCAAGTTTTAGCTGATAGCATTACCTTTGACCTTTACTTGAAATATTTGTTTTGCCTGCATTAAAACTTACCGATCCAGGTTAGAACCGAAAAAACAGTTCTTGTCCAATACTAAGGATCAATTCCGGTATCGCAAAACCATATGTCGTTTGCATAATAGCAAGTGCCTTGAAAATGACTCGTCTAACAGATCTTTCCCTATGGTCCTACATACATATATCGTCAAAACTCCATAGCCTACTGTTAGATGACTTCGACGATAGCCTACTTTTCCAATTAAATAGATTGTAATTAACTGCTATACTATTAACTAGAACGGGCATATACATATGTAGATGTTTTTGAAGAAAATCTCTCATATCGCCGAATGGTTCCCTCTATACACGCATATTTATCTAACGTGGATATCACATTCCAAAAGTACCGGGGCTATTATAAAAAAATCTCAGGATTCTTCGTTCAGATATTATTAGAGCTCCTTTTTGTGGATATAACTTGATTAGATCATTATTTCTCATAAACTCTTGGCGCTCATATTTCAAAAAACTGATCATAGGGTGCCAAAGCCATCCTAAAAATTATTCTATGTATTATGTTTGAGGATTTCATAGCCAAATATGTATTAATAACTAGTATGTACTCTCTAAAAAGTAACCCATAAATCCAGAGGAAACCCTTAGTTTGCAAGCACTGTCTCCTTACATTGACAATGAAATATTCCTATGAAATATCAAACCATCTTTTATGCTTTCAATTGATATTATTCTCTTTTCCGTTTGCAGAATACAACCAAAGATTCATATGAATCAGCTGTGAAACACGAAAAAAGCGATGGCTCAAACACACCCGCTAGTCCGGAAATTTCCTTCAGCTCAGCGGATCATGTGCGTGCCTCATCGCCCAATGAACCGGGCAAAGTAACCTATTTCGATGATGGCTCTAGCCTAAGACCCATTGTGAAGGGTATAAATAATATTTACGATTCGCCCGTAGACAAAGAGCGTAATCGTCGACGACGCAGTTCACTTCAAGCCAAATTAGAGCGCCATCGTCGCAAGAATAACGACATCAGTCAATTGAGCATAGACAACAGCCTGCCAAGCGGCTCACAAAGCGATTTGACCAATGGCAGTATGGGCGGCAGCGCCATCGGCGCATCGTCGGGTGATCTATCTGGCGGTGATATCGATCCGCATCATTCGGCATATTTTCCGCGTCAGAAACGTCATTCGTGGTGGAATATTTTCGTGCCAGACAATTTGAAGACCAGGTGAGCGGGAGATAATGAATCCTTTTATAGATTCTAATCCTTTATGAGTAACAGAATGGGGCACTAAACTAAAACCGTTAACCAGATAACCGTGTTATGTGAATTTAAAACTGCTAATAACTGCGAATATACCGCCCTCTTAACTTTGTAGATCCTTTAATCAGATTTGGTGTTCACGTTGCGCTGTAAACCCGGGTTTTAAGTTCGGACTATGGTATTTAACTTTTGAGAATAAGAACCAATATGTATGTATAAAAGAAAATTATTTGAAATCGCAGATTTTGAGAGTTCATAAAGGGATGCAAAAAAGTACACTAAATTCAACTCGGTACCATTAAATTCCTATATTAATAGCAAAACAATTCTGATATAATCCGTAACACAACATCTTAAAAACGAGTTTGTAGCGCAACGTGTTCTTAATTTTATAGAAAATAACCAAGAAATCTGTTGTTGCAATGCTAATAACGGCATGCGCTGGTGGAATTACCGAACGAAGTGTACTGGAATGCCATATTGTAAGCTTTTACTCTAATTATTCTTATGGTTGTTCTTATTTTTGTGCCTGTTTTGTGCCCTCTTAAGGGACTCTAACCGGGTTCAGCTATATTTAAATACAGCTCTTCATTGGCTTGAAGGCGCAACCACACACATGAATGACTAACAAATATTAACTTGTGCAAAGTGATGCTGCCGGGTGCAAAAAAAAAAAAAATATGCACGTGTTTAATTGAATGTGTTAAAAAATGTAAGTAGCTTCCTAAGTGGGCATATATTTTGTACGTGGGAATAACCAGCATGTCGTTGGCTTGCGAACGCAGTTTTTTCCGAGAAGTTTAAGAAGAAATGCGAAAGAACCAGTATTTTTGCACTTTAGCGACTTCGGTTCCCGCTTTTTAAATTTTGATGCAACTTTTTTGGTATATTAAGTCGTGTTATGACATGAAATGCATGTGCACTTGAGGGTGTGCCACACCTCTTTATATGGGTATGTCGGTTGTGGTTGCATAATTGAATATCATCTTTCTTTTAGTTTCACTTATGACATTTCTCCTCATCACGCAAATGAGGGCCGCTCGTTTGGGTGTCACGGCTGCTTTTTGTGTGTCCGGAAATGCTAAAAATACGAATTGTACGATCACAAAGGAAAACCGTAAATGGCGTTCGTAAATTACTCTACTCTGTAGAGATCGTTATGAATATTTTCTTATTTTTTAAAGATTTTAAACTTTTTATGTTTGAGTGGGATCGTTTACGTTTGACAAGATTTATCACTCAAATGTCAAGATTTCGGTGCGACAAACTTTTAATTAAGTCGTAAAACTACACATTAATCCCCAAAAGGTCAACATTATGAACTCCCCGAATGTTTGATTAACGATAACCACAGAAAATGTTAACTTAAGAGATATTTTTCTGTTGGCAAAGCACACACCAATAATTACTAACAGAACAGATATTTAGAATGTACTGCATAAATTCTTTAATAATAACATTTCGTTTTATACTCATCAACAACCAAAATCATCTTCAGAAATACGTCTAAGTGTGATCGTCTCACGAGCTTATACTATAGCCTCGCAATTACTCAACATGCCTCTGTTTTCACATTGGTCGTAACAGGTCTGATATTACTTTAACCGAGCAAGGTCTGTCAAATTGTTTGTATTCTCCAAGGTAGTTGAGGGAACTTTTTCAGCGTTACTATAACTTCGGTCGTTGAGGCTTCAGCTTCGAATCATTAAAGAAGTAGGTTAAAGGGCGCGTTAGGTTCCAACTTCCATTAATACATAATTCGAAGAGAAGATATCGCTATGCTAAGAACTAAGTTTTCTTCTATCCATTTCCGATATAAATCAATCTTTGTCTATATTATGTGTTAAGTCAGTGCACCATATTAAAGACGCTCTCTAGGTAAGAGAATCAAAACCGTTGGCGGTTCCTTACAGATATTCCTTAGAAACTATAAATTCCACATTTGTAGATAAATTTGCTTGATTTTTGACTTATTTCCTTTAATAGTTGAGACACAGTCGTCGTAGTCTTCATTTTTATCATTTGAGGCAAATTAAAGATTCCCTCGTTTATTGGACTATGTATGTAGGAATTTTAATAAAAAGTCACTTTTTTCCGATACACTTCTTCGATTTACTCTATTCATTGCATAATTCTTCATTTGCGATATTATATAATATAATATATAAATATACTTAAGATGCTAAAGCCTTTAAACTTTAAACACTTTGCCTTTATAAACTCAAATGGCTGCCCTTTGGCGTGGCGGCAATTCAATTCTAATCCCTCTATCTATATTCATCCATCAGACGTAAAAAGATGGCTGAAAGCTTTTGATGTTCTCTCTTTCTATAAAATCAAAAGTAAGCATCTTCTAAATAATATTGTTGTTGTTAGGTTTGGATTAGGTTCGTAGGGTTGATCCAAAAATGATAGACATCACTCGGACAAAAAGTTGTCCCTTGTGATCCTCAAACGACTTTTGAGATCACCTTCGCTAAATTCTCGAAGTTGTGTCTATCGAGATATTTCAATCTCAGTCTGGCAAAAGACTGACCATAGAGGAGAAAATGATAAAATGATTCACCTCGCCTTCCTCTAACGGCTTTAACAAAGAGCGTCCGACAAAAAAGTTAGTCAGACCGCGCGTGTACCATTGAACAGTCCCACTGAGTGCAAATAGTTGGTTTATTTTGGGTCAGAAAGGTTAGGTCAAGTTCTGGTTATTATCGACTGCCTGCTAAGCTCACTGAAGCAACATATGTAGGTCCAGCACTATATCCCAAGAGGACTTCGGACTACTACTGACTCGCTTCCAATTGGTTGTTATTATTTTTATGGAAATTGATATGATAAAGGTAACGCCTGTCAAACGATCAATTCAACTAATTACTCAAGTGAAACTATCCATATATGAATATTTTTCTATATTTATTTAAATCTGAAGGTATGTACAGTTATATAGTTTCCTTTATCTCTTGAAGGCATTTTCCAATTAACAAGTGCAATTGTTGTAAGATGTAATCAGAACTGAGTGCAAACCGGCTCTTGTGCGCATTTAAATATATATTTAAGTATATATGTATGTACATATATTAATTTTGTTTTTCACTCATTTAATCATCTAATGTATGTAAGTATGTAGGTTTACAATATGCACAGATCTATCATGATTATTGACCTGATGCAACGATTACAGTTAGCCACAATTGCTCGCCACACAATGTGTTAATCACTCAAGTGTAACGGTATTTGCTAGCTGTCAAACGTAAAACAATTTTTGCGCAATCTTTTAAGATCCACGATATAAATATTGAATATGCATGAAAATTCTTCTTCTAGGTTCATATGTTATTTGGCGCATAAAATTCATTTCATAATTAAGTAATTTGTAGCAAAATACATAAATTAATACTAATTTGCAAAATAAATTAATATCAATTAATTTGTTCCACAATAATCGTGACACAACTTACATACAAAGTTGATGGAATTCGCATAAAATTAACTTAATTACAATAACACAATTTATTCAAGGCTTCCAATCAAGCGCCATTTATTAAGCGCCAATAAAATGAAATGATGAATTATATTAAATTTGTGGAGTACTAATAATAATAATAATAATAATAATAGTAATAATAATAATAAGAGAAAGAACAACAACAATGATTCTAAACGAGCAAGCAGAAACAAATACCGGTTAAAATGGTAAATTACAATGACAATTTCAGTTTAAGGAACGAGCGTCTTTCAAAGCACTTACATATATCCACAACACCCGAAATCAATTTGATCTGATTTGAGTTCCGCACCTCTTCCTCTACAGTTACACGGTCAGGAAGTTGCTACCGAGTTTATCACACAAACTGCTTGTCAAAATTGACATTAAAATGAAATTAAACAAGTAAGGAAGGGCTAAGTTCGGGTGTCACCGAACATTTTATACTCTCGCATGATAAAGTAATAATCGAGATTTCAGGCGTGGTTGTGAACCGATTTCACCCATATTTCGTACATGTCATCAGGGTTTAAGAAACTATTATATAACGAATTTCATTGAAATCGGTTAAGTACTTCCTGAGATATGGTTTTTGGTCCATAAGTGGGCGACACCACGCCCATTTTCAATTTAAAAAAAGCCTGAATGCAGCTTCCTTCTGACATTTCTTCCGTAAAATTTAGTGTTTCTGACTTTTTTCGTTACTCGGTTAACGCACTTTTAGTGATTTTCAACATAACCTTTGTATGGGAGGTGGGCGTGGTTAATATCCGATTTCTTCCTTTTTTGAACTGTATATGGAAATGCCTAAAAGAAACGATTGTATACAGTTTGGTTGACATAGCTATACTAGTTTTCGAGAGAAAAGTTAGTAGGGGGCGGGGCCACGCCCACTTTTCCAAAAAAATTACGTCCAAATATGCCCTGTAATAAGTTACAGCTTGCACGGACGGACGGACAGACAGACATCCGGATTTCAACTCTACTCGTCACCCTGATCACTTTGGTATATATGTATAACCCTATATCTGACTCTTTTAGTTTTAGGACTTACAAACAACCGTTATGTGAACAAAACTATAATACTCCCTTTAGCAACTTTGTTGCGAGAGTATAAAAAGAGGCCAAACATGGGCCAACAACTTTTGGACTTTGCACCACGATAACGCACGGTCGAATATTGCATTGATTAGTCGTGAGTTTTTAGCCAAATTGTCAACCAACCTTATTGACAGTTGACCGGTCGAAAGAAATTAGGAGTACACCAACATCGACAATCGAAGATAAGTTTCAACATAACCTTGATTTTTAGCCTGGCTTGACTTTCAGCTTTGGCTCACCTTTGCCTTGATATTCGACCGATTAATCGCCTATTTCCGGTCGAGAGCAAAGATCCAAGCCTCATTGCCTGTAATACTACATTTCATGACATCCTGGTAATCGAAAAGTATTGTTATGCTGTTTTTCGAAAAAGTTAATTGAT